TTTCTCTAATGATTTTTGAGATCTTGCATCAGGAATCCTACTCCTGCTGTTTACAAATTTTCCTTCTACACATGTATTACAACCTAACTTAGATGACTCAATTTTGCCTGAGAATTTCATGCCCTTAACTACCCCCTGTAGTTTTATAATATCTTCAAAATTGCAGTGCCCTAGGATTTCATGCCATGTGTTAATATCATACGAGAGATTTACTTTATCTACTTCACTTACGCTATCGTTCTCATGACTGCCTATGGAAGTCAAATAGTACAACCGTCCATGTTCTTCAATTTCAACAATGGTACCATCTTCAAGGGTTAGCTCACCAGTATCTTGGGCAAATCGAAGCTCGGCTCCATTTGATGTGGCTGCCTTCACTGAGAAAATATCTTGAGGATAGGATGGTATATATAAGGCGTTTTTCAGCACCGTTTTCACACATTTTCCATTTGTATCTTTCAGAAACACTTCAGCATCCCCTCGTTTCAATGCAATATTACTGGCTCGTGTGCCATCAGCCAGTTCAATGTAATGTTTTGATGGTTTAAATGTCATGTCTATTTGCTTTAAAATATCAGTAGTAACAATGTGAGAAGTGGCACCTGTGTCAACCAACATTCCCATTCGATTGATTTTCCCCGTTGCTTCGTCGTTAACTTTGAATGCAAATGAATGTTCATCTTTAGAGGCGTTTTCTTTCTCCGACACCTGTTTGGCTTGGTCTTTGCTCTTTTGCTGACTTCTGCAGGTGCTATCCGAGTGTGTTGTACTTTTGTGATAGTTACACCACTTCTTCTCGCTCTTAGCAGGGCACTCTCTGACTAAATGCCCTCTTTTCCCGCAGCCATAACATGTCATTGTTTGCGAAGGAAACTCAGCTTTCATTACCTGATCAACTTTCGGTTTGGTGTTGAGCTTTTCCGTTTCTTCGAAGCTCCTCAACCTGCTCTTAAACTTCGCGAACGTTATCTCACTTGCACTTTGGGTCACATGTATCGAGAATGGTTTATATGAATCAGGCAGCCCCTTTAAGGTCATAGCAATTATTAGCCCATCGCTTAACGTTTCTTTGGCGTTCTTAAGCGCTGTTATTGCCTTCTCGGCTCTTATTAAGTAATCCGTGACTGTCTCGTGAAGTGCTTTTTCAAGTGACGTTAGCTCAGTGTAGAGTGTGATGATTCTTGGTTTGCCTTGATTTGCATAATGATCTCGGAGTATTTGTAAAGCCTTTCGGCCATCGTCGGTAGCATCCCTCATTACCAATGACAGACTGGTGTCATCCAAACACTGTATAAGCTCGGCGTAGCATTCTTCGTTCTTTGTTGCGTCAGCCTCTTCTTCTGACTGCAGGATAGTATCCTTTAGTTTTAATAACCTCATGTGCGCGAGGAATTTCGCTTCCCACAGTTCGTAATTGCTTTCGTTTCCATCGAAAGTCAACCTTGACCAGCGTGATTCTCTGCTGGGCCCATAACCTGTTGAAGCCATGACTTTAGAACACCGTATTTGTAATGAAATCACTCTTTATTTTCACGTTTATTACAAATGTAGTTTTGTACAGTAAGTTACTTTCACGAGGAAGTTCAACTAACAACACAACAATCCCATCATGCATTTGTCTCTCAGTATTACGTCATACTAATATTTGGATAACACACAGTTTTATATTGAACTCAACAATCCTACAAAGAACATGGTCCAGAGAACTGGATTGGGAATTGGGATTAGAGGTTTGCTTGAGTCAGGGATCGCAGCCCTAAAGTCTTTCACAATACCATGATGCATATACAGTCAGTCTGTCATCAAAAACATTGACAATAGAGTCCCCTTATACCATTATAAGAATTTCTCAGGGGCCTAAGGCTTTTAAAACTTCTCTTCCAAGTGAATTATAAAGTTTAATTGTTTATACATTTTACGTCCACCGCGTTCCAACACGATATTTGTACCGAATTAATATTTATTACGCGTTTCGTACTAAATGTAGACTATATACTTCGGAGAACTTGTGATTAAGGTCTCGTCTACTAGTTTTCTGTAATTTTGAGTTTGTTTCGCTGATCTCGAATGAGTAATTTGCCGCGTTTTTGTTTTGAACTGTTATACTTAATTTTTTCGCTTTAGTTCCTGTGCATGCGCTGATTTTTTCGCGATGTTACCCTCTCCCAGTATCGCGTCTGCAGTTCCACAGGCAATTGAAAGTGTTAAAATTGAACTCTTTAGAACTAGGAGAAAATTTGAACCTAATACGGAAAATACAAATATGTAAGATCATATTTGTTTTATATTTTGACTTTGTGCGACATTAATTATCATGAGTTTAGTGACAACAGACAAATAGAAACTGAAAAGATGCTCGAACCGGCCAATTTTGCTGCTTGTCTAATTTTCTAATTTACTAATATATTTTTCTACATATACGGAGCAAGCGTCGGGGACAAAGAGTAGAGAAGGCGTTGCTACGTTTTATAATATATCAGTCAGCCACTCAAGTCAGTCAGCAATGCCGCTAAGAGACACATTATGGGGCCCCGGAGCAATATATAATTTGGGGCCCCTGTAATTTTCATCTTAGAGTACGTTAGATATGTAAGTAGGATCCAGGGTCATTCTCATACAGGATTTGTAATTCCAGGAGGCTAGTTGAGAGTTATACCTAATATGTATATTTCACTTTATTTATTTTATTATCTTAGGTAGCGTTCCTCCCCCTGGAATTCAGAAGAAATGTTGCCCGTTTGCGCGCGCATTCCTCCTCCGGATACTTCTTGCTATCAGTTCGCAATTCAAGCGGTTCACCAGCTTGTCAGTTCGCCGGCGGTCAGCCAGTTTACCAGTCAGTCTATGCATCGTTTATTAATTTGTTCGTTCAGTTGGCCAGTCAGTCAGTTTTCGCATTTGCATTTGTAACTTTTGCATTTACTATTTTTGCGTTTCAAGTCATATATTTTTAACTTTTACACTTTAACCAGGGCACAAGTTTTACAAACAAATTGAAAATTTGAATATGGTATATGACATTTATTAGGTATGCCGCTCGATAGCTTAATAATTGTCCATTTTGACTGAAAGACTGAAAGATTGTACGATCATTTTTATTCTTAAATTGATTATAATATTTGGCAAAGTCATAAGGATATTCCCATACCAGAATAAATTCAAATTTGTAAAAAACTTTCTTCTCTTCAAGTAGAAATGTAGTAGTGCGCGCCTTGCTATAACGCTCAAGAAAAAAATACACTGTATGTGAAACATTCCTGAAAAACATTCCAGTGAAACATTCAGTCCTGACAACCACTTCTCTTCTTTGCAAACAACTTTTGAAAATACAATGACCACTATTTGCTATCATAGTCAGGAGCAGGGACGGCATTTTGCCCACTTGAATAAACGCCTGTTCGCAGACTACATTTTGCTCGGATCCCTCAACTGAAGGACCACAAAGTGCCCGTGACATTTGCCCATCTTTGTGCAAATATTCGCAATTATTGTCTTATGCATCATATTTAAAATTCCAGCTTTTGTTTTTCGAATGAGCTGTATTAACATAACAAATTTTCGAAAAGAATTTTAGTTTCAAAAAATTTTATATCGCTTTCTAAAGAAAGGTATCAATCTCCCGTGCGTAATACAAATTAAAAAGGCTGAAAAACGGCAAACTTCGCAGGACTATATTATCTGCATTTTCCAATATTTCGCAACTCAGCGACGGAATATTACGAATTTTCTGGACTTGTCTAGATCAAAATTTTGTTTATTAGGTAATAGGTCTGTTTGTTTTGAGGCGTAATGGTGAATTGTATTTGTAGAAAATCGTGATATTTACTATAAAATGTACTGTAATTTTCATGATGAGCTCCACCTCAATCTCGTTCCCCGAGCCTGCGATCCTCGGGAAGGAACGCGAGGCTCTGGGATAATCCGTTGCCGGAAGCCAGGAATTCTGGCTAAGATTGAACTACGCATTCCATTTCAACGACCAATCAGATTCCTCCCTGAAACGGATTATCCCAGAGCCTCGCGTTCCTTCCCGAGGATCGCATGCTCGGAGAACGAGATTGGCTCCACCTTTGAACTTACTATATGAGTAAATTCTTAAACACGTCCGAATTTATCATTATGATAAATTCGCGGCACATTTTGAATTTATCATAATAATAAATTCGCAGCACCTAACACTAACTCTAACCCCGACCCTAACCACTAACCACTAACCCCTAACCCTAACCCTAACTTTTTAAACTTTTTAAATTTTTTTAAAAATCTAACTTTAAAAATCTAACTTTTAAAACTTTTTTTGGTTTTTAAAACTCTTTAAAAACTTTTTTTAAAACCTTTTTAAAAACATTTTTTTAAAAAACTTGAAAATCTTCTTTATTTGGGCACTTTTTAACACTCGTCCCTAGTCCTCTCATCAACTTTGGAATGGCTAATTATGCAGGAAGCTTGCCGCAGCAGTATAACGTTCCTTTTGCAAAACCACTTGAACTCTGAACGAAAAATAATCAGTAAAGCTACGTTTACGCGCTACGGTTTGTCGTGTACGATTTGCATTCTGGCGTATTAAAATGAGTGCTGGCGCCATAATTCATTGTCTAAAAAGAAATTTCAAATGTAGCCAGTTTACGCGTGTTTACTCAATGACATACGCCAGAAAACGAATCGCCCACGATTAATCGCAGCGTGTAAACGTAGCTTAGCTTAGCTTTATGGAGTCGATTCAGAACTTTCTTCGGGTGCTTATATACTTTTACTACAGACCTCTCAGCCTATATTATCATACACTTATTTTGTTTTTCAGATAAGGAAGGATGTCCCAAGTATCCCTGTGGTTCTTTCGGTTACTGTAACAAAATCAACAGTTCTTGTCAATGTGAGGGTGGTTTCAGATTATGGAATAAAACCTCGTGTATAGGTAAATGTATAGTTACATCTAATCAGCCCAAACTTAGCAATATAGACACTACCCGAATTTGCTGGTTGCCAGTGAAAAGTATGTATTTACAATAGATTACAATGCCTAGCTCGATTTCGAGCTATTGTTTTGTGTGCGCTCACGCAAATTCCGGAAGTGTCTTTTGGACAGAATATTATACAAATAATGAATGTTTATGAGTGCAATGGTAAGAATATTTTCATGAGGTGAAAGATGGAATGTTCCATTCAACGAGGCGACAGCCGAGT